TAAAATGCCAACATGATGAGATGAAGTGACGTGAGTGATGTATGTATTGTGACATAACCGTTAGGCTACTGTTGACCTTCTGACATCTTGTCATCTGCTTCTGGACTGTGGCTGACTATGGTTAACTGAAACCACAGAAAGCAGAATTGTGGGTGAGGGGACTACTGTATACACAGTAAATGATCTGCATCAAAATCACCTAAGTTTCTGATGGCCAACAGATACATGAAAAGATGCTCAACATCACTCATCATCAGGAACATACAAATCAAAACCACAATGAGATACCACCTCACATCTGTCAGAATGACTAAAATCAAACAACACAATAAATAACAAACATTGGCAAGGATGTGGAGAAAAAGAAACCCTCATACACTGTTGGTAGGAATGCAAACTGGTGCAGCCATTGTGGAAAACAGTGTGGAGGTTCCTAAAAAAGTTAGCAAGAGAACTACCTTATGATCCAGTAATCACACTATTCAGTATTTACCAAAAAATACAAAAACACTAATTTGAAAGAATACATGCACTCCTATGTTTATTGCAGCATTATTTACAATAATCAGTTTATGGAAGCAGCTGATAGATGAATGGATAAAGAAGATGTGATACACACACACACACACACACACACACACACACACACACACACTGGAATATTATTCAGCCACTAAAAAAAAAGAATGAAATTTTGCCATTTGGATCTAGAGGGTATAATGCTAAACAGAATAAGCCAGTCAAAGACAAATACCATATGATCTCACTTGTATGTGGAATTTAAAAAACAAAACAAATGAACAAAGGAGGGAAAAAAAGAAAGGACAGGCTCTTCACTATAGAGAGTAACTGATGGTTACCAGAGGACAGGTGGGCAGGGGGATGGGGCAAATAGGTGACGGGGATAAAGAGCACCATTATCTTGATGAGCACTTAGTAATGTATGGAATTGTGGAATCACCATATTGTTCACCTCAAATTAATATAACACTGTGTTAACTACACTGGAATTTAAATACATATAAATTTTTAAAAAAGAATCACTAAGGGGCGCTTGGGTGGCTCAGTCCGTTAAGCAGCTGACTTCAGGTCAGGATCCAGACGTCCCAGGATCAAGCCCCATGTTGGGCTCCTCGATCAGCAGGGAGTCTGCTTGTCCCTCTCCCTCTGCCCCTCCCCCTGCTTGTGTGCTCCCCCTCTCCCTCTCTCTCTCTCAAATAAATAAAACCTTTAAAAAAATCACCTAAGGTTCTTATTTGGAAGGCTCCTAAGCCACCCAAGTTCTGGTTCAGTAAGTCTAGGATGGAGTTTGGGAATCTACATCTTAATGAACACATCAGGTGATTCTTATACTTTCTGACAGTTGAGAACTGTCATAGGAAAAAAAATTTAGGCTGAAAAAAAGTTTTATAAATGGTCACCTTAAGTCATAGAAAAAGCTCGGTACTGTACTCACAAAAAATCTGACCCTGAGGTACCTGTGGATACCAATAAATTGATAGAAAATAGATGAATAGAATAAAGAAATAGACGAATAGAAAATAGAAAAGAGACAACTTGAAATTTGGAAAATGTCCATCAGACAGTGATCTTTTTTCTGATATAATTGATGTTGAATTGTGTGTTTAAAAATCATTCAGGGCAGCTCAGTCTGTTAAGCATCCTACCTTTGATTTTTGTTCTGGTCATGATCTCAGTGTGGTGGGATGGAGCCACACGTTGTGCTCTGTGCCCAGCATGGAGTCTGCTTGAGATTCTCTCTCCCCTTCCCTCTCCTCTGCCCCTCCACCCCTGCTCAGACTCACACGCACTCTCTCTTTCCCTAAAATAAATACATAAAATCTTTTCAAAAAATAAATAAATAAAAATCATTCAGATATCCAGTCAAGTTTGATATACTATGTTAATTATAGGAAATGCAGAATTCATACAAATAGAAAGATGGGAGAAAATGAACATAGTTCTGCCAGCAAAGGGCAATAAATATTTAATATTCTGACATATTTCCTTTCAGTTTTTCTAAGCATGGTATTTTGTTTTGACTTGACTGGATTCAAGCCTAAGAGAGTTTTTCTCTGGGACACTTCTTAAGTCTTACCACAGATTTATTCTTATAGATTATGACTATTCATATTGAAATTGTTGATAAGGGGCGCCTGGGTGGCTCAGTCGTTAAGCGTCTGCCTTCGGCTTAGGTCATGATCCCGAGGTCCTGGGATCGAGCCCCGTGTTGGGCTCCCTGCTCCGCGGGAAGCCTGCTTCTCCCTCTCCCACTCCCCTGCTTGTGTTCCCTCTCTCACTGTGTCTCCCTCTCTCTCTGACAAATAAATAAATAAAATTAAAAAAAAAAAGAAATTGTTGATAAACTTCCTCCAGATAGTTTTATAAGAGACACAACTCCTCCACACTGTTGAATGCCCACTAGTGGACACATCCACTAGGAAAGGCCTGTCCTTTCCAGTCCACTAGAACTGGGCATGAATTTCTGCAGCTATTTGGGATTAGGATTGTTGATAACTCCATTGGGATGTTTCCCAGATTCCACAGTCTCTCCATTCCTGAGATTTTAGTTTTGATTCTTAGTTCTCTTAATCATCTGACCTATATCTTTGAATAATTTTTTAAGCATCCAGGGTGGTATATTGTGTGCATTCTTGTAAATCTGTTGCTTTCACACATGAAAAACAATTTAGATGCTACTAAATTACTGTCATATCCTTCTTTTCTCAAAATTCTGCATGTTGAGATTGTACTATTGTCTTCACAAGGAAAAATCTGATATTGCTTCATTTGTGTTCTTTTTTCTTTTCTTCAGGGATGCTGAAAAGATAGTCTTCAATACCATTATTGTTTTTTTTTTAACTTTACTAGTATGTGGGAGATTTTTCCTGGAATTCAGTGAGCTCTTTTTATCTTCCTACTAGTCTTTGTCTAGCTCAAAATGGTTTTCTTCAATTGCATCTTCATTTATTGCTTGATTCCTTTTTCAGGATCACTTTTTATTATTTTTGGTTAGATAGTTTTTGTTTCTCAACCACATTAATCTCCTTTTCCCTGATAGTTCTTATCTCTTTGTTCTTTTTCTCTGTATTCTTTGGAGAACTGTTATCCTCCATATGAGATTTATTTTCTGCTTCTTATTGCCTCTCTTCTGATACATATTTGAATTCTGCTATTGCATTTTAGATTTCCTTCCATTGTTTTCTAATTGCAACTAACTTTCTTGTATTTCTACCTTTATCTTAAGTTGGTCTCTCTTTCTGCTTCATGATTTCTATTTCATAGGCTATGTTGTCCTCCTGTGCTTTTTGAGTACACCCAGCATGTATTTTCTAAAATTTACTCTGCTTTATATAAGAATTCTTTTTCAAAATCAATTCTTCATCTAAATCTTTGGATCGTTACTCTCTTTCCCTTCATTATAACATCTTTTCATAGGCCTTGTTGTTTTGTTGTTATTGACAATGGAAGAGACTGTATCCAGCTCTAGCAGGTAGAGTAGGACAACAGGAAGGGTAGGTAGAGTACTTATAAGAACCACACCCACCCCCCCCACACACACACATACATATCCATATATGCCTTTCACTTTAATGTTTTGCCTGGTACTCTCCAACATAGACCTGAAGGTCAAGTTCATGTGCATTGACCTAGTTCAAGTGCTGATATTTAAGTATTCATCTTGTCTGTCTCTTCTATACTGTGGCTGAATCTTCGTCATTTCTGACTTGCATTCCGTAATTAGTCAGAGAAACTAAGACAGTTTAGAATTCCCGATGTATATTCTTGATGTTCTTGTCTTTGCCATCATTTATAATGTTTTTCTTTAAATAACTGAGCATCTTACAATTACACGTCACCACCAGACCAGCCCAAGGCTTGTCCTCTTCTACATCCTCTCTCTTGAGTATTAATTATAGAATTCTGTAGAAAGAGGACCCAACTATTACTTTAGCTTGGAAGACAGTTTCCAGTGTTACAGTGTTATATATATATGTGTAAATATAATCACATGTAATTATATTGTTAGTATATTAGAATATTATTCTAGATATGTAAATATTAAATATAATATAATTTTATTATATTATATTTAATTATATATTATTCTCTGTATGTAAATCTAATTAAATATAATTATATTATTAGAATATTGGAATATTCTATTTATTGGAATATTCCAATATTCTATTATTCTATTAATTAGAATTAATTCTATTTATTAGAATTAATTAGAATTATTAATTAGAATCTATTCTAATGTTATTTAGAATATTATATTAGAATATTCTAATAGAATATTATTCTAATTATAATTGATATGATTATATATTCTATAGATAGAGATATATAATATATATTATTTTTCATATAATATTATATAAATATAAATTTGGTCTACACAAAATTTGTGTCTCAGAACTAGGAAAGACTATGGGGTGAGAAGATAGATAATTAGTTCTTCCTTCCCTGAACCATCTGTGCTGAATCCACATGTGAGGCATGTCTTACATCATCCAGGAAAACAGTGTTCTGTACCTTCTATAATGATATTGTTGAGATTCTCCTGAGTTTTGCCACACCTACACCCACAGCTGGGACTTTGATATATCATTGTCTTTCCTTGCCACTTTATGATCTTTTGGAGTTTTCCACGGGTATCTTAAGAAATTAAAAGAAATAATCAGGAACTGCTAGTCTGTTGCCATGTGAACAGAAGTTTGAATGATATTTAACAATAGTTATCCATCAGACTTATATGTGCCATGTGTCAATTATTATTTTGGTCCATGTCTTTTTATATATTGTTAAATATTCTTCATTTTCTGCCCTATATTATTAAATATTTAATGCCATACTTTACCTAACAGGAACTGTATTTTCACTTAGATGTAGTATATACAAATAAACTGTGTTTTGAAATTTTCTTTGTGCCAAAAATTTCATAAAGGAATAATGTTTTAAAATTCAAACACTAACTATTAGATTTCTTTTTTAAGTATTTGAGCCTGCTGAGGATACTACAGTTGGAACAGAGATTTCAAAAGGATCCAAAGAGGGCCTAGAGACTAAAGAGTTATCTGAAACAGGTTAGATTATAAAAGTAGTTAGTGTGTGAAAATACTTTTCATATTCTTTTAGAAAGGGTCCAGTCCCTCATTTTAGGCATAGTACCAACTTCCTACCTATTTCTTTCTATGTTGTATGCCAGCTCATATGTATTAATTTAGCTTATTACATTAAAAATGTATGTAGCCAGCATATAGTACTGTTTTTCATCAAATTTTATTTTATACATTTTATTAACAGTTAAAGTTGCCATACAAAATTCTTATTAATTATCCTTGATGTTGATTTTATTAGTAGATAATAATTTGTCTAAGCCAATACAAGGAACAAAGCACAAATTAAAATATGAAATTATGAATTTATATTATTACCTAGAAAACAAGTATATTTATTTCAAATGTTTTTAAAATACTATAAAGTATAAATTATTTTGTCAATATGGCTAGAGATATAATATTTTAAGACTCTTTTTTCTTTCCTCTAACCTTTACCTCAAAAGTTGTACTCCCTGAGTTTCCAGAAGATGCTTATCCTGATGTCCCTGAAATGGAGCCAATTAAAGAGAAGATTAAACATTTCAACTACATGTGGAAACATCTGGAAGCAACAATCAATGAGTCTTTCGTTCAAATTTTAAACTTGGAGGTTGCTGACAAAACTCCAGAGGAACTACTTCAAAAAGTAGTTGAGACTATGGAAAGTAAGAGCTGTAATCTTAACATTTATTGTCAAGAACAGGTAATATTATTAAAAGCACTGTGAAAGTTTAAAGCCCTTCTTGATGGTTTATGAAGTAAAGCATCCAGTATATTCAGGGTTGATATTTCAAATATTTAAATCTGCTAATCAGGGGACACCTGGGTGGCTCAGTCATTAAGCGTCTGCCTTTGGTTCAGTCATGATACCTGGATCCTGGGATCGAGCCCCGCATCGGGCTCCCTGCTCAGTGGAGAGCCTGCTTCTCCCTCTCCCACTCCCCCTGCTTGTGTTCCCTCTCTCGCTGTCTCTCTCTCTGGCAAAAAAGAAATAAAATCTTTAAAAAAAAATCTGCTAATCAGAACAGCACAGGGCACAAAGAGCACTGGCCAACCCAGCCAGTTGTCACTTAAAGAATTTGTGAAGACCTGTTTGCATACACATTTAAACTAAGAGATCGGTCATTATAATCACTCTTCCTAATCTTTGACTACTGTAATATGCTAATATCCTTTTATCCTAACAATTACTTCTTTTTTTTCTCACAGAACCCTTCCAGTATGTTGCATGGGAGTTGACTATGGAAGATTATGATGAAGAAACAGAAGACTATCAGGCAGAAGCTGAAGTTGATGAGGAGCTAGAAGAGGAAGAGGAGGAAGAGGAAGAGGTATGACTTCCTTATTATTGCTCATTCACATTGGTCACATCACTGAAAGTGCATATATCCAGATGCACAAAGATGGTAACTAGCACTTTTGGACCCCAAGAAAACAAGCAGGCATCCTCGATTTTATAAATTTTTCAACACACTTGGCCTCCACCCAGCTTCACTTGACCCCTGAAATGCCAGGGCTCCTTAGGCAATATATTACACCCATGAAAAAAGAAAAGGGAAATCTTTTAAATTTTTTTCCACAGGAACATCTATAGGTATTAGAGACAGAAATATTTAAGGGACGTAAGATACAGATAGCAATGGCCTCTTTGGGAGGCTGCTTGCATGATAATAAGGAGCAGTATTAGCAAAAGGAACAGGTCATTTTCAGGCACTACTCTACTCCCTTAGCACCAGAATTTTGATAACCATTCTCATTTGCTAACCACCCACTTCAGGTATCTATCAGTAATAAAATAGGAAGTGATTCTTTTAATTTGGGGCCTTATTAATTCTTTCAAGTTTCCTGGACTTTATTCCAACATGGGAGGAGGTTCTCCCAAACACAACACCAAGCAGTTCCAGAAGATGACACCAGCAAGAAGTCTGAGAATTCAACTCAATTCTGACGCCATCTACCTGGAGATAGCCTCAGATTCCACAGGTTAAGGGTTCTGTACTAAAGGACTGCTCCCCCACTCCCTACCTCAGCCCCCGGTTGTTTCCTGTGCTTCTGACTGATTGGCTACAGATTAGGGATTCCAATAACCTCCTCCATTGGTTCAATTAATTTGCTAAAAGAGCACAGAGAATTCAGGAAAACATTTACCTACATTTACCAGTTTATTAAAGGGTATGATAAAGAATGCTAATCAACAGCCAGATAAAGCCATACATAGGACAAGGTCCTGAACAAAGAAACTTCTGTCTTTGTGGAGCTTTAGGCCCTGCTTGGTGGCACATGGAAGCTCTTCTAAAAGAAAGGACCAAAAGCTGTCCTCTTAGGTTTTTATGGAGGCTTCATTACACAGTCATGATTGACTAAGTCATTGGCCGTTGGCTGATTCAGCTTCCAGCCCCTTTCCCCGACCGCACCTCAGAAGGTCGAGGGTGGAACTAAAATTTCCAGCCTTCTAATCAGCATGCAATAACTTGGATGAATCTCAACATAATTATGCTAAGAGAAAGAAGCCAGGCAAAAAAGAATATATCCTGTACGATTCCATTTATATAAAAATTTAGAAAATGTAAACTAGTTATAGGGCTAGAAAACAGAATGGTGTTTGCCTGGGGATGGGGCAAATAGGAGCAGGAAGGAGAGATTTTACAAAGAAGTGTGAGCAAAATGTTGGTATTCATGAATATGTTCATTATCTTGGTTGTGGTGAATTCACGAATGAATACTTGTGTCAAAACTTATCAAATTTTATACTGTAAATATGTACACTGTTTTAATGTCAGTCATACCTCAGTCAAGCTATTTAAAGTGTTAGTGGTGGTTATCTCTGAGTGATGGACTTAAAAGTAATTTTTATTTTTTAAGTGCTTATCTATATTATCTGATTTTTTAACATTAGAAATGTATCATTTTTACAATAGGAAAAATCAACAACAAAGATATTTCCTTTTTGCCAAACAGAAAGTACAAAAAGAAACAACAGTTCTAATGCCACTCCAGAATTCAGGAATCATACCAAGATATGCCCAAGTGTTGGTTTTTCTCATCAATCTTGCCTATACTTGGGTTGCTCTTAAATCTGTATGTTATGTCTTTCTGTATCTGTGGGAAAATAATTCTGGTCTCTTCTCCATCTCTTCTTTTTTCCTTCTACAATACTCAATACTAATTAGGTCTCTTGGATCTATCCTCCAAATATCTTTATCTTTTCCCTCAAATTCTCCATCTCTTTACTCTTTTGTTCATGTATTTGTAGATGTGTCTTCCATTCAATCTTTTCACTTAAGACATTCATTGGGGTCCTATTGCTGTTGTAACAGATTACCACAAAGTTAGTGGCTTAAAACAATCAAATTATCATATAGTTCTCAAGATCAGTTCTCTGAAATGAATCTTAAGGGCTAAAATCAGTTCCTTCTGCTAGAGGAGAAGACATTTCCTGTTTTTTCCAGCTTCTGGTGGCCACCTGCATTCTTTGGTTTATGGCCTTTTCTTCCATCTTAAAAGCACATTACTTCAACGTTTGCTCTCCATCATCTCATCTCTTCTTTTGCCTTTGACTTTCTTGCCTCCCTCTTAAGGACCATTTAATTACATTGGGCCCAGCTGGATGAGCTTTCCATCTCAACATCCTTAATCACACACATAAGGTTACCCACTCACAGGTTCTGGGGAATCTTTGGGGGGCCATTATTCTACCACAAGTGGTCACCCTCTTCTTAGGCCTATTTACATACTTTGTTGGTGCCTGCGAACTCTTTCTAGTGTTTACTTGAATTTCTATTAATGCCTTCATTATTTTCCTACTCTGAGATTGGGTTCTGTCCATCTCTTCTGCAAAGTTTTATGATCTATTTGATCTGACTGATCTTTCAATTGGCTAGGATCCCTTGCATGGGTGGTGGTTTTCTTTTTTCTTTTTTCTTTTTTTTTTTCTCAGTAGGGTTCAGGACAATTGCTGGAGTGCTTTAGGTGACAGCATTCTCAAAAATTATAAAAGGCAAAGTGGTGTCTCTCCCCATAGATCAGGAGTATAGAGGTAGATAAGGCTGAAGGCCTAAGACAAGCCTGGTTAGGATTTCTCATACTTGCCTAGATGCAGGGTTGGGGAGGACTCTTCCCACCCATACACCTCCTTGTTGGTCTTTTGTGGGCCAGAGAGACCACAAGCACTTCCCTGGTAGTTGCTGATGCTGACATTCCCCAGGAAATCCAGAGATCCCTGCAAAAAATTCCTCCTAGGACTTGACATCTTAATACTCTGGTCCCTCTGATGTCTGTCTCCAGGCACTCATCTAGCCCATAGTGGTAAATAATGCCATACAGTTTCCTCCTTGCGGATGTTGTGGATTCCTGCTGCCTACCCCAGCAGTTGTTTAAGACTGAGAAGGTGGGAAAGAGGGGAAGGGTGGGGGGGGGGGGGGAAATAACTGAAGGAGATTAAGAGTGCACTTACCTTGATGAGCACTGAGAAATCTCAAAGATTTGAGAATTCAACACAATTTTAAATGTCACATGACCTTATTTCAACTTTATCAAAATCCTTAATTTTGATAGATTATACATTTCAGCTTCAAATTAAAAAAATATATATATTATTTTCTAACCCTTCAAGAAAAATCACATATAAATGCTTTATAGTATGGCAGAGTGAAATTATAGTTGCCAGATTAAAAAAAAAAAACATGATACCCAGTTATATTTGAATTCAGATAAAAGAATAATTTCTGTGTGTGGTACAAAAATTATTTGTTATCTGAAATTCAAATATAACTGGAAGCCACATTCTTACTTTTTAAGTCTGGCAACCCTACCTGAAGTGAGCTTATTAGCAGGAAAAATTAATTAAGGATTCAACTCCAGAATCTGGGAAAAAAGCACAAAAAACCCCAAAAGAATGTAGAAAGGAGAATAAAGGCAAAAATTAACAAAATAGGAAAAGAATACAAAATAAAAACAGTAAACCTAATTTCAAAAAATGAAAAGTTGGTCCACTGGCAAGTGTAATAAAATAGGCCAACTTCTAACAAGTCTAATTAGGTAAAAAGAAGAAGCAAATAACATTTGAAACAAAAATGGGTATATAATCAAATTTTAAAAACAGGGTTGTTTTAAATTATAGGAACTTTATACTAATAAATTTTAAAGTCAAGATAAAAAGGATTTTCAAAATATGAATTACTAAAATTTGTTTAGGAAGAACTATAAAAGCTGAACAAACAAAAAAGATAGAGGGGAATTACAAATCATTTCTAATATACCTTTGTTGATTAGATAATTCCTGTGTTGCTTAAAATCTTCCACATAGGGGCACCTGAGTGGCTCAGTTGGTTAAGCATCAGATTCTTGATTTCAGCTCAAGTCATGATCTCAGGGTCATGAGATCAAGTCCCGCATCACATGATGCTCAAAGCAGAGTCTGCTTGGGATTCTCTTTCTCCCTCTCCTGCCGCCCCTCCCCCCACTTACACTCTCTAAATAAATAAATAAATAAAATCTTAAAAGTCTTCCACATCATAAAAAAATAGCAATACTTCCCTGCTCATTTTTGGAATTTGCGTAACTCTCATATAAAAATTGAACAAGAGTGGTGCAAGAAAAGTATAGATTTGTCTCATGTTTGCACCTTTACAGAAAGTTGTTCGTTATATCTTGTTTGGGGGGAATAAAAGAGGCTTGTTGTAGAATAATCTTGTAGAGTATTATCCCATTGGTATTTTTTTAAAATACTGTGTCTATCCCTAAATATGTGTTTATTTTTATATGTATATTGGTAGGATATACTTTGGAAAAGGGTCTGGAAGTGTACACATAAAATTGTTGAGTGTTTTAAAGACATACTGTTATGGAGTAGACATTATTCAAGATGTGAACTCAGAGGGATTTGAGAAACTGATGTTTTAATAATTAAATTAGTACATGAACTGGACTTTTGTGGATTGTTTTAAAAATATCTTGTTATGGCTTCAATATTACTCAAGATGCATTATTTTAATTTACTTTTACTTAATTTTTAGTCTTACATCAAAATACTTTTAATACTGTTCTCCAAACTGAATAATATTTGTAGAATGAAGATAGAATTAAGGAGAAGAGAAGGCACTTGGGAGATACAAAGCACTTTTGTCCAGTGTTTCTCAAAGAAAACTTCATCCTACAACCAGGCAGCATAGATGAAGCAGCTAAATATCGAGAAAAAATCTACTACTTTTCAAGTCCTGAAGCTAAAGAGAAGTTTCTGGAGCATCCCGAGGAGTACGTGGCTCATAAAGAACCATTAAAGGTGAAAACAATATTCCTAGCAATCCTAATGATTCCTCCTGAGTGCTTTTTCAAGGACTTACTGCCAACATTCATCGTTTTACTTAATAGTGAAGTCCCCAATCTGATATAACAATATGGTGAAAATATCTAAGTTCCAAGAGCAACTTTTTGGAATATAAAGTAAAATAATTATCTTTTTTGATTTCTGCAATAATGACTTGTTTCAAACCAACACATACTATCTGTCTTTTTAGCTGAAGTAAAAAGACACAGCTACATTTATTGCTTGCTACATTAAGAGCCAGATGTGTAAGTGGGCAATTTCACAGGAACAGAAAATAGAATAATGGTTGCAAGGAGCTTGGGGGTAGGCAGGGAAGAGAATGGAGTTATTGTTTAATGGTGGGTACAAGATTTCAGTGTGGGATGATGAAAAAGTTCTGGAAATGGATAGTGGTGATGGTTGCACCACATTGTGAATGTACTTATTGCCATTGATTTATACGCTTAAAAATGGTTAAAATGCATATACTCAAAACTACTGAATTGTATACATTAAAAGGGTGGATTTTATGGTATTTAAATATACCATCTCAATAAACAGATACTTGAATTTAAACTGAAAAAATGGTTAAAATGGTAAATTTTATGTGATGTATATTTTACTACCATAATAAAAGAACACATGGTGGCAGTATTTTATCCATTTCAAAAATAAAGCACACACATAAATGCACCAGCTTTAGACAAGAACCTTCATTTTTTTTTATTTCACTTTCACCCTCTTCCACATGGATATATATTCTTTCCAGTGTATATAATATTTTATAATCTACTTTTTCACTTAACATTATATCAATGAAAGCTTATATATTTCTACATAGACCTCATGATGCTTCATCATTTTGATGTACCATTTTAACATCTAATTGTTAGACATTTTTCACAGTATTTTCATAGTGTGATTTGTCATTGTGGATATGAAATAGTACTTAGGAAATCTTTGGGCATGTCATGCTTTGTTTCTCTTGAATTATTTTATTAGTATAATTCCCTAGCATGGGATTACAAGATCAAAATATACAAATCACAATACATTGTCACTTATACTTTCAAGAACACCAATGCCTTTTTTTTTTTTGCCTGATGATGTAGGCTCCACACCCAACCTGGGGCTTGAACTCACAACCCTGAGGTCAATGGTTGCATGTTCTACTGACTGAGCCAGCCAGTGCCCCTAATTCCAATGCTTTCTTAAACAGAACATATAGAACACAATTTAAATGCTTCTGAATAATTTGGGCTGTTTTCATGAACTTCAATTTTTATATGGTGCCCAGGAAGACTACTAAAATATGTATATGGTTGTGCCTTCTGACACTGTTGGTGTTGTGAAGTGATAATTCAGTTTTAGGGAGAGCAATTAATAAGACTTCTGTTTCCTAAAGATTTTATTTATTTATTTAATTGACAGAGACAGCGAGAAAGGGAACACAAGCAGGGGGAGTGGGAGAGGGAGAAGCAGGCTTCCCGCCGAGCAGGGAGCCCGATGCAGGGCTCTATCCCAGGACCCTGGGATCATGACCTGAGATGAAGGCAGTCGCTTAACCGACTGAGCCACCCAGGTGCCCCATGCCTTATGTTTTCTAAATTACTCAAAACTTCCTTGTCTTCACTCTCCTCCTACCCTACCTCTCCCCAACCCACCCCCTGTGGCAGGCTCCTCCAGTAAGAATATGCCTTATTGGCCCCCATGGTTCTGGCAAAACCACCTGTGGAAGACAATTAGCGGAAAAATGGGGCATTTTTCATATTCAGTTTGAAGAATTTCTTCAAGAGAAACTAATGCTCAAAACCGAAAAGAAAATTGGAACTGAATTTGAAGAAGATTCTGATGAAGAACAGTTTACAAAACAAGAACTTGAAGAACTTGCAATTCAGGCCAAAGTCAAGATTGAAGAAGAAAATACAAGGAAGCCGGTAGTAATATTAATACTCTCTTTGCAGATAATTATGCTTACTGGTATTAATTTTGGGAAATAGAATATAAGCAGTATAAACCTAAAGTTTCTAAGAAGAAGAAAAAAAAATTAGCCCCCATATGTCATCCTCCCCATTTGTTAAGTACATATCTTACTGCTCATCTAGAATACAAAATGCTAAGTTTTGCATGACTCCAATAAAAATCTAAAAAGCTTTCCCTGACAAGACTGTTGCTTAACATTTATTAGGGACTCTGTTATTTGATATGTCTGACCTACACTATAAGGTTTTCCTTTACTGTGTTCTCTGTTTTCTATCAAATATAAAAATCTGCCCCAGCACCAGCAGAGATCTCAAAATATTAAATTCTGATGATGCATTGTAAGACATTTTATATATTTCTTAGATGATTTCTTTCTGGGATTGTAAAGAGGAAGTTCTTAATTCTACATTTTTAACCATTTCTGATATAGTTAGACCCTTTTCTTCTCAAATGCTCCCTTGTAAATGAACCCAGGTATAGATTATATTCCAGAAGACTGCCTGGCTGGCCCATCCTTTAATTAGGATCTAGGTTGAAGAATTATAAGATAAATGACAGAAATTAGTTAAGCCTTATGGGTGTGTAATGTAGATTGAATAATTTCTTAGCAAAAAGTGATAACAGATATCCTGAGGCCATGTTTGAAAATCAGCCATGCTAATCACTAGTAACTCCTCTTAGCTATAATATATAATTTAATATTTTAAGTCATACTAAATATTGATTTAAAGAAAAAAGTTCAAGTTTTAAAGTGTTAACAAGCAGCAGTATTAAAAATGACCTAAGAAGAAAAGGTCTTATCCTAATCAACTATGTAATAGAGTATTATTTATTAATACAGAGTTAAAATTTTTTTTTGTTTTCAGCCTCCAGATGTGCAATTTACAGAAGAAGAAGAAGCAATCAGATTAAATCTAATGGAAAATCAGCCATTGCCTCCCGAAATTCTTGAAACAATTCTTTCTGAGTGGTGGCTTAAGGAACCAATACGGTATCTTATTTTATATAGAATTATACAATTATTGACTTTTGTTTGCTTTATTCTTAAAAGTTAAAAATGTAATCCAGCATAAATTTAAGATTTTTCTTTTACTCATAAACTAGTGATTCTACACATTAAAAACAGCTGAGGAATCAATTTAAAAATACTGATGCCAGGACACCTGGGTGGCTCAGATGGTTAAGTATTCAACTCTTGGTTTCGACTCAGGTCATGATCCCAGGGTCCTGGGATCGAGTCCCGCATCGGGCTCCCTGCTCAGCAAGGAGTCTGCTTCTTCCTCTTCTTCCTACTTGTGCTCTCTCTCACTATCTCTCTCTCTCTCAAATAAATAAATAAAATATTTAAAAAAAAATACATGCCAGGGGCCCCCCTCCCCAAAACAACTGAATCAAAATTTTTAGAAGTGTGAGGTTGAGACCCAGGCATTTGTATTTTTGAGAGCTCCCCAGGTGATTCTACTGTGTAGTTGTGGTTGAGTATCCATATTCTAAATCCATGTACACTAATGATGGGCTGGACTCTTTTTCTTGGAGCCTTTCAATAATTACAGTTAAGACCACTTAATAACTGTCCACAGTGTTATCTTTCTTAAAAGCCAAGAACAAGCCTGACCTCAGACAGGACTGAGAAATTTCAGAATCTCCATGCCATCAGAGTTTAAAACTTCGCCACAATTTCCTAATCAGAATTGTATTTTTGAGAGCTCCCCAGGTGATTCTACTGTGTAGTCGGGGTTGAGTATCCATATTCTAAATCCATGTACACTAATGATGGGATTAACTTACTTAATCCTTACAAGTATCCAATGGAATAGAAACTTTTATTATCTCACTTTGGAGATAAACTATATTATAGAGAATTCAAATAACTGGCCAGTCCCAGTGCTCCTCTGGGCACTCTTTTTCACCTAGTCCATGGCCTAAATGAGTGAGTGAGGTTATTGGTCATCAACTTTAACTTTAATTTCCTGTTGCCTAAATTGGCTCAATAGTTGTGGTAAACTTAAGCAGGTTGACTGCAAAAATGTAGTCATGGGAGCCATCTGGGTGGCTCCGTCAGTTAAGCACAACTCTTGATTTTGGCTCAGGTCATGATCTTAGTGTCATGGGATCGAGCCCTGCATCAGGCTCTGTGCTTAGGATGGGGTCTGCTTGTCCTCTCCCTCTGCCCTTTCCCCTGCTCATGCTCTCTCTCTCTCTCAAATAAATAAATCTTAAAAAAAAAAAAACAGCAACAAAAAACCAATGTAGTCATGGGTTGTTCTTCATTAATTTAGCTCTTGACCTCACACCATACATTAAATTAAAAAAAAAAGCATATGAATTGAAGAATTAAAAGTAAAAAAGTGAGGGACGCCTGGATGGCTCAGTCGGTTGGGTGTCTGCCTTCAGTTCGGGTCATGGTCTCAGGGTCCTGGGATTGAGCCCAGCGTTGGGCTCCCTGCTCAGCGGGGAGTCTGTTTCTCCCTCTTCCCCTGCTTGTGCTCTCTCTCTCCAAAGAAAAAAAAAAGAGTAAAAAGTGAAATTGTAAAAAGCCTAAATAAAATAGCTAAGTATTATGCAACCATTAAAATGAAGAATTTGTAATAGCGTGAGCAATGTTATTATATAACATTAAGTTTAAAAAGATACAAAGTTATTTATAATATAATAGCAAGATGACACATAAGGAACAAGCTGGAAAGAAACAAAACAAAATGTCAGTAATCTCTAGGATATGAGATTATAGATAATCTTGCCCTTTTTCATGTTTTTCTCTATTTTCTAATTTTTCTAAAGTAAGATTTGATGCTTTTATAATCAGGGGAAAAAATCAACACATTTTTAAAGGGCTATTGCATGAGTCCTGGAGAGATATAATACAATATCTATATCTATACAGATATAGATATATAAGATATAATAAGGTGAACTAAGGTGTAATGGTAGAAATGGAAATGTGGGTACAGAAGAGGACATGCCAGGGTTTAGCTCTTATATGTGAGAAGCAAGAGGGGGTTGGGGGGGCAGTCCAAGTGTCTCTGAAGTTTGGCACCTGAATACCAGTGAGTCAGAAGCAAGAGCAGTGTGGAAGGGTAACAATGAGTCTGATTTTTGACAGTATGATGCATATAAAATTCCTGAAGGGCACATCAATGAAGAAACTAAGCAGCTTTATGAAAATTCTGAATTGAAACCCAAAAGAGAAGTTGGGTATAGAGGTAGAGATTTAGAAGTCATTGACAAAAAAGGGACAGCTGGAACAGTAGGGATGAAATCGTTCCTCACAGAAAAGACTATGCTGAAGGCATCTCTAAAGAAAAAGGCATACATTTTACAGCCAAAATATAAAAATTTGCCCACTTAATATGATTAGAAATATTTTAAAATGTCAGATAAGACCTCAAACTGTCAAATCTTCATAAAAGTCCTATGAGGAAGAAAACATATGTTTAAATATAAATACCTAAAACAAGCCAAATTTTAGATAAACAGGATAAATTCTCATTCAAAAGGGAACCAATATTGAGTTTTTCAAATAAATAAAACCAAGTTCATAAAGCCTGTTAATAATAAAAATGTAGTCACATTCCAGTTATTTTTCTGATCCTTATAGTCTCATCATACCTGGGCAAGTTTTATAATTTTATTTGAACATAATCATCTTACACATATGAGCCAGTATGCATACATTAGTAATTGTCATTGATCATAAGGGAATCCAGGGAAGAGGGTACAAACTGTTTCCTGAAAGGAAGTATCACTAGAAGAAAAACTATGCAAAGGTAGATTCCCACAAGTGGTGGGCTGGCCAAACCCACCTTTACATAATGGTGACACAGTCATAAGGCTGGGCATTCCTCCCAAGAAGAGAACTTATTTTCTCTTAATTTTTCATCAAATACTAAGACTAAATTTAAGAGAATTTATCTATAATATAAATGTAAGTATAAAATACTATCATTTTAATCTAATTCAATACATTTGGGAGAAGACGCACCATGTTTACACAAGTAGAAATATTACAAGAAATAAAAGATACCACAGTAAACTTTTAAAACTATTCATTGCACATCTTATATAAAGTTGTGATTTATTAATATTTTTTCATTTTAAATCAATATTTATAATATTTTAAGCAAATAAATTATGAAATTTCTACCAAGTTCCACAGGTTTTATATTAGATGGTTTCCCACGATATCCTGAGGAGGCTCTGTTTCTGAGGGAATGCGGATTTTTCCCAGATGCTGCTGTTTTTATACAAGTTGATGATCAAGATATTTCTGATCGACTCCTTCCTTCCCAAATTGAAAAGTGGAAACAGAAACAAAAGAAAAAATTAGAAAGGAAAAAACTCATCAAAGAATTGAAGGCAAAAATCAAGGTATGTATCCAGTAAAAAAATATGGGAATAAATTTGTTCAGCATCTATTCAAATTATAATGGTCTTTACAAAAATGTAGTTTTCTGATTTTAATAATAAGTCAATATGAAAACACTTTTAATCAAATATTAATATTATTTATAATTAAATATTTAAAAATTATTTGAGGCCTATGTGATTTGCAATACATTAATGCTTTTCTCTCCAAGGCAAATAAAATTAAAGATAGTGGCAGCACTAACGTATCCCTATACCAGACATAGGAGCAAAGTGGGAGAGACAACATAAAGAATTAAACTTCTCAGTGGCTTTTTCACTAGTTCCTGGAATGATGACACCATCAAGATCCAGGTATTAGTTTAGGACATCTTTTCTAAAACTGAAATCTGAGGAGTATTACATAAAATGTTCAAAAATGTCATAGGGAATCCAGCAATTCCACTTCTAGGAACCTATCTAACAGAAATGAAAGCAGATCCACATAAAGATTTATATATGAATGTTCATAACAGCATTATTCATAACAGCCAAAAAGTGAAAACCACAAAATATCCATCAACTGATGAATGGATAAATGAAATGTGGTAGATAGGGTACCCTGGGATCCCACCCAAGATGGTGATATAAGAACCTCCTGAATTCATCTCCTCCCACACACACAGCTACACATGAAGCAATTCCCTCTGAAAGAAATCCAGAAACTAGCTGAGCAACCCGTACACATTGGACAAACGAGAAAATACCTGTATCACCCACATCAAAACAGTTGCTGCCTGAGAGTCCAGCTTCCAATCTGTCTATGCAGTGGGTGATCCTCCCCTTTGGGACACTGACAGGTTGTGGCACATGCTTAACGACTGGGAGCCAATGAGAACAAAGAAAATAGCTTGGGCAATCACAAAGGTTTGAGAGACAGCCAAAAACTCAGTCCAGGCTGATTGATAAGGTTCATCTCCTACACAAGACTACTCTGAAGACTAGGAGTTGTGGCTTCTTTACCTAATGTGCAGAAACCAACACAAAGTCAAAGAAAATGAAGAAAGAGATGAGGAATATGTTTCAAACAAAAACTCCAGAAATAGACCTTGCTGAAACAAAGATAAGTGATTTATCTGATAAAGAGTTCAAAATAATGTTCATAAGATGCTCACAGTGTCAGGAGAACAATGCATAAACAAAGTAAGAATTTCAAGAAAGAGATAGAAAATATAAGAAAGTACCAAAGAGAAATCACAGAGCTGAAGAATACAATAACTGAACTGAAAAAATTCAATAGAGAGGTTCAATAGCAGACTAAACACATAGATGAATGGAACAGAACAGAGAGCACAGAAATAACCTCATGCCTATATTGTCAATTAATTTACAAGAAAGAAGCCAAAGATACATGATGGAGGACGGATAGTCTCTTCAGTAAGTGCTGGGAAAATTGGACTGCTACATGCAAAAGAATGAAACTGGGCCCCCTATCCTATACTATCCATAAAAATCAACTCAAAATGGATTAAAGACTTGAACATAAGACCTGAAACCATAAAACTTCTAAAAGAAAACTTAGGGGTAACCTCCTTGACATTGGTCTTGGCAATTATTTTTTTAGATTTGACACCAAAAGCAAAAGTCACCAAATGGGGACTACATCAGACTAAAAGGCTTTTGCACAACAAAGGAAGCCATCAAGGAAATGAAAAGTTATTCTACTGGGTGAGAGAAAATATTTGCAAATCATATCTGATTTGCATCTGATTGGGGTTAAAATCCACAAAATATGAAGAACTTATACAACTCAATAGCAAAAAAAAATCTGATTAAAAAATACATTAAAAATCTGAAAAAAATTCAGAGGTTCTGAATAGATATTTTTCCAAAGAAAACATACAAATCGTTAGTAGGTACATGAAAAAGTGCGGTATCGCTAATCATCAGGGAAATGCAAATCAAAACCACAATGAGATATCGCTTTACACTTGTTAGAATGTCTGTCATCAAAAGACAAGAGGTAACAAATGTTGGCTGGACTGTGGAGAAAAGGAAATCCTTTGCACTTTTGGTGGGAATGTAAACTGGTGCAACCACTGAGGAAAATAGTATGGAAGTTTCTCAAAAATTTTAAAATACAACTACCATATGATCCAGCAATCCTACTTCTGGGTATATATCCAAAGGAAATGAGAACAGGATATGGAAGAGACATCTGCACTCTCGTGTTCATTGCAGCAGCATTTACAATAGCCAAAATATGGAAGCAACATGTCAATGGATGAATGGATAAAAAAGATGTTGTGTTTATATGTACAGTGGGACATTATTCAGCCATGAGAAAGAAGAAAATCCTGCCTTTTACAACATGGGTGGACCCTGAGGATATTAAGCTCAGTGAAATTAACCAGGCAGGGAAAGACAAATAGTACATGGTATCATTTGTATGTGGAATCTAAAGAAAATTCAAACTCATAGAAACAGAGAATAGAAAAGTGGTTGCCAGGGACTGAGGGGTGGGGAAAGTAGGGAGAAGGTGGTAAAAGGGAAAAACTTTCAGCTAAAATGAATAAGATCTGAGGATCTAATGTATAACATGGTGACTATATTTGATAACATCATACTGTATAATCAAAATTTGTTAAGAGAATAGAACTTAAATGTTGTCACCAAAAAAAAAAAAAGATAAATATTGAGGTGTTGGGTGTGTTCATTAATTAAATGGAAGGAGTCCTTTCACACTGTATATCTATATCAAATCGTCACAAGATACACTTTAAATAACTTACAATTTTATAAAGCTGGATGAATGAATAAATGTGTGCTATATCCATAAAATGGATACCATTCAGTATTTAAAAAGAACAAACTATTGATAACACTCTACGACATGGATGAAAATCATTATGCTTAATGAAAGAAGCCAGGTTAAAAAAAAATAGTACATACTATATGTTTCATTCCATTTATAAGACATGTCCTGAAAGGGCAAATCTATAGATCTAGACTAAGGCACAAAGATTGAGACTTTCAAATCTGGATCTAGGAAGACAAAGATGGGACATGAGAGCAGTGTTAAATAATGTGAAGCGCTTTCATGCTGAAGAGAGCTTGTAGGTGTTCCAAATGGCCACAGGGAAGGAACTATTATTGGTAGGAGGAAGGTACAGGGAGATGTATTTTGTTATTAGTAAGAGTTTCCAAAAACAAAACAAAACAAAAAAACAAAACCAAGATTGGAAGCATTGAGCTATTTGTCAATAAAAAAGCTAATCAATTAACTCCAACTCTGAGAGATACTATGACTTAAATTATTTAATACGTTATCAGGCTGTACTTTATTAGTATGATAAAAGATTATCAAACATTTTCAACAAATTGCTTCCAAGTATTTCCCTATTTCTCCATGTATATAATCTACCTCTTTACCAAAGCAACCAAATAAATAATAAATTCGAAAAGGTGTTCTAACGTTTGTAGAAAGAATGGCTGCCCCCACGTGCTGTTTATCCCTCTAGAGGGAAATAGCTAATGAGAAGTTCCAGAGGTACAGGATGAAGTAGCATAATTACCACCATCATGAGCTTTTCTGGAAAGTTTACCATCCTTTCCTCCAAATGCCAATCCCACTTTGGGAAAAAATATATATACTAATACATAAAAAGTAATTTTATTATCCATTAAAATGTTTAAATGTCTCTTTCTAAAACAGGATGATATGATTTCTAAAAGAAGGGCTGAACTTCTAGCAGAGAAAGAAAAAAGACATAAAGGGGAGGTAAGTAAATAAAATGGTTGCTTTTTTTAAAAAAGGCAGAATATCCATAATATAATATTTATATATTCTATATATTTTTACATATCAACAGTATAAAATAAAAAGATGCCTAGAATGCCTTGAAGGAAGTACACAGAGTTTATGTTTGAGTAGTAAGATTATATATCACTTTTTTCTTTATATTTTTTGATATTCCATAATTGTTTACAGTGACCCTTCATTATTTTTATAATCAGGAGAATGAACATTTTTAAAAGAAGGAAAACCACTAAAGAAGTTTAAATAATCAAATTCAAAATATAATACTACATTAAACTACACTTCTTTTGGATTTTCATTTTTGCCTTTCACACTTGCTGCTCGTGCCCCAGGGAGATAGTCTGGGAGTCTGGGATTGAGGTCTAGACAGGGAGACTGTGAAGCTGTGCTGGACCTAAAATAAAGATTATGTCGAGATAAAGAATGGAACGAGGCAGAGCCTCTGAACTCTCAGACTTATATGTTGTGCAGGACACTCAGTACAAGCTCCTTTTCTCTATCTGCTGATTTTTCAAAAAGATAAACCTTGAAGATCGTGGATTTTGTTTTGTTTGGAGAGGAGCTGTTCCTGAAATGACCTAGCTGACACCAATGCTATAGCCAAGCTCACTCAAGGGTGCAGAATTTAAAGAGGAGGTGTGACGAGACGAGAACTAGGTGTGCTAGTTCTAAGAGGTTACCTGAGGCTCATATTTATACAGTCAGCTTACAAGTAAATCCCTGTAACCAAGGCAAACAATAAGATGGTTCCTGCCTTCTGCCATTTCCTTCTGGCCTAAAGCACCCTGTACCATCTTTTCAAAACTGACTCTCCTGTGATCTGATTTCCAACCATATAAAAACATTCAACCCAACAAGGGGAAGGAGAGACGAGGAATCCAGGAAATAGGACTTGCTGTGTGTGGAACCATGTCTCCCCCTGGTATGGATGTGCTGGACCTAAGTACAGAGGACTGCTGACACGGAGCAACCGTAACTGGGGGTCAAAACATTGCAGAATAGGGGCCAGAACAATTGTTTCTTTGTCCAAAGTATCTACAACCAAAAGTAGATCTAAAACCATTAGACTGAGAACATTCTGGCACCATCTAAGGAATAAGAACCCTCCATTATTTGCCTTAATCTTCACTTATCCATTCAGCCCGTCAGCCGGTCTGTCAGCAAACCTTAACTGAGCACTCACTGCATGCCTGACACTATTCAGACACTGGGGGTTCAGCCATGAACAAAATTGAAAGAAGTTTCTGGCCTCATTCTACTGTTCATTCCCTGAACAAGCAACGTTCTGAAATTCTACTCTGTTCAAGGAGTCATGCTGATGTTTAGGATTAAAAACAAAAACAAAAACAAAAACAATCCAGACATCCTAACCTGGGCTCAACCATAGTTACTACTACCTTTAGCCCTTGGGAATCCCAAGTGGTCCCCTTAAGAATCACCTCATAGGGGTGCCTGGGTGGCTCAGTCGTTAAGCATCTGCCTTCGGCTCAAGTCATGATCTCAGGGTCCTGGGATCGAGCCCCGCATCAGGCTCCCTGCTCAGCTGGGAGCCTGCTTCTCCCTCTCCCTCTGCTGCTCCCCCTGCTTGCGTGTTCTCTCTCTCTCTCTGTCAAATAAATAAATGAAATCTTAAAATCACCCCACATGTCTCAGCAGGATACTACCAAAAAAGTCCGGACTTTGGGGTTGAGCTGACCTAAACTGGTATCCTTTCTCCAGTACTTGCTGACTTTGTTCACTCCTGGCTCCCCGGTGCCTCACATAGTAGGCACTCAACAGTTGTTTTGTTGCTGTTGTATAACTTTGAGCAAGTTTCTTAATCTCTCTAAACCTAGATTTTTTTTGTAAAATGGAAAAAAATTAATAATATCTAGTTTCCTGAATTAATAATACTTTAATTTCTCCCTCTTTGCTATTTTTTAGTTAAACCTCCTTTTTCTCAAGAGAATCAGTTTTCAGGATAAATTTTAAATGTTCTTAATTTATAATTTTAATATTTGTTAGCATTAGAATGGTGGGATTTCTTACTATTTTTTGTTTAAAAATTCAATATTCTATCTTATAAATTAAGTAGGTTTTTGTAAGTTAGCTCTCCTAAGACTTAGTCTTTTACAAAATTGGCTATGTATCCCCACACAATAAATTTATACAAACTGGGAAGATAATTCCTGAAATTTTTGATGAATCAAAGATGAAAACTATGTATTGATTTTTTTTAACTCCTTTGATGAGAATTTTATGTTATGTCCTGCTACTGCCTCAGACAAAGAAAGACTAAACAAAATGTAGCATCTCAAGGATCACATAGTGTGATTGCTATAGTCAGTTAATGTGACACCCTGACTCAAATCCATTCTGACTCTACATAGACCCTGGAGCTTGCTTTCATGAACAGAACCAGTGGCCTTTTCATCATTTGCCTTTTGTATAGAATGTGCAGCTCCATGACTCACCTTTTCACAACTAATTGGGGAACCGTATGCAAATAAAGCCCCTCCCAGGTTTGTCTTCTCCTCCTTAACAAAAATCATTGCCCTCACGGTCTGAATTTTTTGCAGCAGGTAACACATTTTTAACATTAGAAATTACTTCAGTCTCAAGGGGACTGCTTGCATTAATTTTGTAGGAAAATGTCGCCATCTTGTGGAATTTTAGTCTCCAAGTGTGCCTAAAGAATAATCTATAAATCAACCACCTTGTATAGAGATTTAGTTTGCATACTTTCCAACTCCTCAGAGGCCTTGCTTCTGCTCCTGGTCCTCGCTCCAGAATCTTGGCTCTCTTCCTGTTCACTGGCTCCTTCTCTGGTGCCTCAGTCTCTTCTATCAAACTGTGGGTAGCCACAGACAAGAGAAAGCCAGAAAGAGCCAGGACAGGGAGCCAGACCACAAATCAGCAGAATTGTGAGGGACTACATCCAGGTGAATAGTTAATAGAGGTAAATACCATGAGTACAATGGGAAGCCAAAGTCAGGGTCCAAATGAGGGTTGAAACAAGGTTCAGGACCAAGCAGCTGGACAAGACCATCCCTGAGGCCTTCTAGGAAGAAGGCAGAGTGTATAAGCCCAAAGGTCTATGTGCAGAGAGCTCTGTGGGATGGAACAGAAAACAAAGGTGTGTATGGGGTGTACAGGTTGGGGATTGAGTTTTTTAAGTTTTTATTTAAGTTCCAGTTAGTTAACATACAGTGTAATATCAGTTTTAAATGTACAATGTAGTGATTGAACACTTCCATACAACACCCGGTGCTCATCACAAGTGCACTCCTTAATCCCTCCCCATCACCTGTTTCACCCATCTCCCCCATCACCTCCCTTGGATTGAGTGTTCAGGCTTGAAAAACAAATAGTTTGGAATAGTGTCTCAAAAAGTCCATATTTGGAAAACAACTAGGTGTAGTAAGGAAATCTAGGGTCTGCTTAACATGCGTCTGTATTGGGAAGCCTCAGAACTCTGACAAGTCTTGCACCTCTCCTCTTTCCATTTCTTCTCTAGTTGTAAGCATTCCGAGTATAATCTCCGTCACCCTCCTGACATAAACTTCTACTCAGCTGTAGCCCTGCTCCTCCCTTCCCCTACTGACAGAAAGTTATGAGAGAGCTTACCCCAAATCTAGTCCTATTTCTCAGAGACCGTGAATTTTGTTTTCTGTTTGTTGTCTTTGTTTTCTCTTTTCCCTTTCCAGCCATCTCTGGGATTGTTTGATGTATTTTAGAAATCCATTTTATTTATCTATTGGCTTTTTAGTTATACCTCTATGTATCTTTTTTTAGTGGTTGCTCTCGATTACATATACATCCTTAACTTTTCCCACTCTACTTAGAGTCAATATCATTCCATGTAATATCCTAGAAACCTATGACTGTAGAAGTCAGTTTACACCCGCCCACACTCCACCAACACCCTTTATGCTCTAGTTATTTGTTTTACAACCAAATATATTACAAACTCCATAAGAAAAAAATTATAGTTTTTGTTTTAAACAGTCATATGTATTTTAAAAATTTTAAGAGGAAAAGTCTTTTACATTTATCCAGATATTTACCATTTCTGTTGCTCTTCATTCATTCCTGTGGTGTGATGGAAACCAGAGGGATGAGAAGAATGTGGTCATTTGATTGTTTTCCTGTATGATTTTTCTTGATTGTTTTCATGATCTTGACTTTTCAATAGTTTGATTATGATATGGCTACATGTCATTTTCTTCATATTTATCTAGTTTGGGGTTCACTAAGCTTTCTTAATCTATAAATTTGTCTTTTGCTAAATTGGGAGAACTTTGGACATTATTTCTTCAAACACTTTTTCTGCTCTATTTGCTCTCTGTATCCTTCTGAAAGTCAGTCTCACATAGGTTAGATCATTCACTATTGTTCCACATGATCTTGGGTCTGTTCATTTTTTCAGTCTTTTTTCTCAAGTTTGAGCATTTCTTTTGATCTATCTTCAAATTCACTGATTCTTCCCTCTGTCATTTCCAGTCTACTAAACCCATCTGATATCTTTTATAATTTCAAATACTGTATTTTTTAGTTCTAAAATTTCCATTTGATTTGTTTTTATATTTTTATTTCCCTCCTGGGATTTCCTATCTTTTCATGTATTTTCCTTTTCCTCATTGGTCATAGGGATAACAACTGCTTTAAAGTTCTTGTTTGGTAACTCTAATACCCAGAGTGGGTATTTAATATCTTTTCTTATGAGAATGGGTCATGTCTCATGATCCTTTATATTCTGAATAATTTTGGATTATATCCTAGAATTATGAATGCTATGTTCTGGAAATTCTGAACTCTGTTATATACCTCCAGAGAAGGCTGGTGTTTTTGTTTTAGCAGGCAATTTATTTGGTAAGACTAAACCTGCCAACTCTGTCCTACTGGCAATGGGTGGCAGTTCAATTGATACTGTTCTCAAATAGCCCATATGTGCATGATTCAGAGACATGGACACTCTTTAC